GGCTTCTTTCCCCCCCAGTAAATGCAATAGTAAATCACCATTAGCAAATGGATTAAATAAGTAAATTTACCAATTTAGTCAGGTCGGCTAAGAAGTACTAACCAAGTGGTTTCTGTGAAGGTTAAACATGTAACACCTCAGGTTATGCAGTAAGCTTTGTTGCTGTGATTGTGCAGGCACATACCAGACAAGGGAGCTGAGCTGAATGTCTAAAAGCACGAGAACAGGTGATTAATATTAATACCTTAAAATCAAATTCAAATTCCTACTGCTGTAAAAGCATTCCTGCTGATTGCCATTCTCCAAGACCCTTCTCACTTCCTGGCCAAACGGTATAAGACAAAGTTCTGCAACACAATTATTATTTCAAATATGTTTTCAAACTACTAACCCCATTCAGTGCAGACCACCACAGACTGGTGTAGATGACCTTTACAGTACCAATGTGCCCATCCTAAGAATTCTAAAACCAATACTATCCGCTTTAAAGTCCAGTGACTCACTAAATACACATCATGTTACTGCACTGTACACCACACATGGAGAACCCTGTATTGGTTACTAGGTTTGTGCAATCATAGGTGGAATGCATGCAAATGTCAGCTTAGCAGAACAGCCATTTACTGCCACTGACATTTAAATTGCTGCTAGTAACAATTATTAGAGATCCAGAGCTTTTCATTAAGTGAGTTGTGTATTTTTCTTGATATCTCTCGATATCTGGACTATCTAATGAGAAGCCTCTTGTAGTATAAAAACCCTTTTATGAAGTTTCTGTGCATTTACTAATGTCCCTCTCTAGTGAAAAACTGCATCAATCACAAATTACAGATTTCCTGTAGAGGAGAACTGAGATATACTCTGCAGTGATTATGTTCAAACATATACTTGGGAGTATTTGAAAAATAATTTCAAAATTAGGGAGTTAAATACCACTTCTAGTAAAGTGATTTTTCTGAATAACATTACTGATGTTATTCATAGCCCTTCCAAGATGTGAATATGCCTTTGGATATGTCCATTGACATATATGTTACATAGCAGGTTTAAATACAATCATACCCATTATGAAAAGACATCTTTGGTTATGTACTTCACAACTATGAGGGCCGCCTTATACTAAAACAGCAAACAGTTTTGTTTTGCAACTCTATTGCAAAACAACAACTGTTAATCCTCAGGCTAATGGTCAAGACACTAGCCACTTTGCAAAGAGGTCTGTTCTTCATACACAAGAAATGAAGGATTCGGGTTTCTGGAAAACTGGGAGAGATGCAGCTCCACCCAAAACTGCCATCAGAGGGGAGAGGTCCCCTTTCACCCTCCTCCAGTGTTACTCCTGCCTCCCCCCAGCACTCAGCAGACCCCCTGCAAGCCTTTTTAACTCACTAAAGTGGCAATCACCACACACACACACACACACAACCAACCAAACAAAACCAACAACCAAAAAAACAACCAAAATCTTTTTGCTATATTTGTAATTTTTGTGAGCTCTCTCAGCTAGCAAGTGCTGAGATGGCACAAGGGCATTAGTCCAGAAGCACAAAATCCTCCCTTTTGCAGTGACCTCTATATGGTCAGCTGCCTTTTGAGAAGCTTTCAGCTGCATACTACCTTTTTTTTTTTTTTTTTTTTAAGCCTCATTTAATGTTAGGCCAAAGTGGAGCATGCAGCTCCTACCTCACCACTCAGACACAAGCTCTGCTCCTTTTGCACTGGAAGTCACATACATTCAATTCATATTACACACAAGCCCATGAAAGCCATCCGGGTGCACGACTCCAAGCACACTCAGAGCTCAGCCACACCAAGATCACCAACAGCATTAGATGTATGAAGTCAATTATTAAATACCTTCAAAAAAAATTCAAAAGAAGCAACAAGGAGCTAAATCTCTGATCCAGCAAAGCACCAGGGATGCACTGAAATTAAAGCCAGTGAGAATTCAGACTTAAATGCTTTAGGTGAAAGGCACCAGGAGATCTCTGAAACTGGTATCTAGGGAAATAAACCTGTTACAAACACTGCAGCAATTGCACTCTGGTAGATCTTTTTCATTAGTTTATCATAGCACCAGAGGAAAAAACACCACTAGATATTTGTGCACAGTCAGTTCTTTAATCAATTTCCTTACCATGCTTGAACAAAAGTATTTATATTAAATAGTTTTGTTTGGGAACTACACTGTATTTTAGCTCTAAACACATCACTAAATCTATAGGCTAGGTTTCATATCTGTGATACAAATAAGTACCTAGAAGAATTTATTTAATAGTTTTCTGTTTATGTGCAAACCAGAAAACATAATCTAATAAAATCTTGGTTCAGATCCTACCACCAAAAAGTGGCACAGAAAAATCACCATGCCTTATTTTCATGTGACATGTATGAAAGAAGTCAATGACTAGAAAACTTTTTAAATGGTCGTTATAAATATATATGAATGCACACATTATGAAATAGGTCATATAATTAACCTCACTGTTTGCAGCCATCATCCTTGTATGTTCTTACCTATGCAGACACAGTTCATAAGACCACAGCATTCTGATGCAGTGCTACAGTTTTAATACATCACTTTTATTTATAACTTACTGCAAGAGGAAAATGGTTTTCTTCCCCAATCTTTTCTTAAAGAGTCACATGACCTGTGTGTATCCACTTCAAAAGAACGCATTTGTTTTAAGAACAAATAATGCAAAACTACACTTCTCCAAATGCTCTTATCCAGGTAGCTTGGGTTTTGACACAAGTGAAAGCAAGCATTCCACCATGTACACTACATCAGCACTAGTATATTATACAGTTTTAAGACTGAACTGATAGAAATTGCAAATAAAAGTTAAAATAGAAAGTATACACTCTTTCTTTTTCCATATGGCATAGCTTTTTCCTGATGGTTACAAAGATGGCAAAGATAACTGTAATTAAGATGGTGCCTAGCAAGTTTGTAGGGTATGTAGTACTGAAACTCAATTTATGGATGAAGTTAAAGAACTGGAAAAATGTTTAAAATTAGGCTTGTAGAGAGCTTCCAAGCCAGTAATAAGGAAATAAAGTAAGACAAAAATACAAAAAGCATGTTTAACAATACTGACGTTAACATGTTCTATAAAAACCTAGTTCGTTAATGATCATTTGTAGTACAGCATTTAACTTAGGCTTCTGAATCCAAATTTAAGAAAACTAGATTTAAGATTTTTGACTGAGAATCTATAGAAATGTCCATTCAATACAAAGGCTACAAATACAATGTAAAACAATCATTTAACCAAGTAACTAAGTTTTAGCGTCACCTTGATCTGCCAGGTAGATCTAATACGGACTTGCCTCATACAAACTGGTAATTTAAGTTTTAAAAAGCAAACAGATAGGTGACTGAATAAATCAATTGAACCAAAACTGCCAGAGGCAGAAACTCTTACCATAAATTGTTCTTAAGTTACAACAAAAATGTAGACCTAAAAGGCAAGATGAAACTCTTGTATTTTCTAAAACTGTGTGCAAAACACAACAAATGTTTTTATTTTATAAAAGCATATTTGGCTACTGAACATTTTTATAGTTTTTATTTTTCTCCTTGACAAAGAGGCTCATATAAACACACTAATCAAAACACCATATTCATCAGTGTATTAAATATCAAAAATAGATCCATCCTTTTTAGTGTTCCCAACACGGCCAGAATTCCAAGTGTCATGCTTAACATTATGGCAAATAAGCACAAAATAGATCACAACTGCGCTGTTGATCTTTTTACATAATGGGTATTTGTGTAAAAAAAATAGTAAACAAAACACTCATTTTTCTTTCAGTTCTTTCCATGCATTTAAGCACAGTTTTAAACTTTGTCTCTGATTTGCATGGTTCTACTATGAACGGTGTAAATACAATCTACTCATTTTCTAAAGGCTCAGTTCTAAGCACATCTGCATCTCAATCAATAAAATTAGTATGGTAGGATGTTTCCACATCTACCCATTTAGCATAAAATGCATTCATTTTTACTACTGTTATCTTAAGTTCCACACACACATTGCCTTTACATATTCTCAATATCTAATCCATATTCTGAGATAACATACACTCCAATTATTACTTTAACAGAAGTGGTAAAACAAACTTTCCCTGACAGGTTTTTTTTTTTAGTGTAAAACAAAAAAAAAAGTCAAATTGCAGAAAATGAAGTGCTTAGATCCTATGTCATGGTAGGGGATTGTATTACTTCAAGTTCACAACATGACTCAAGACACAAAGCCTGTTATGGATAAAAACAGAAACTATGTGAGAAAACTGCAGATCCTTCAAATGAGTTTTCACAACAGCCTACAGCAGGCTTAAAAGGAAGTCTCATACTGGACAAGCTTCCCAGCTCACTAATAATTAACCACTGCTTAACAAAATACTTCATTGTAATAAATCTGCAAATCTTCATGCCAGTCTAATTTCTCCCTAAATATAAATCCAGTTCTGCTCTCTGACGGGTACAAGACTGGTAATTGGCCTCTCCCCCAGAGATAAACTAAAAATGTCTGTCCCTCCTCCTGGCACACTGCATACTTATTTCATTCCAAGGATTATAACCTCGAAGACTTGGAAGCACTCTCAGTTACTCTGCCTGCATGTTCCTGTTATACATCCAAAGGACTCAGTCTGATTTCTGAAGGAATTAGAGACCACTCTGTTTAAGCCCCTAAACTTGTACCAGCAGTTACTAATCACTACCTCACTTTTCCCTCTGCCCACACTATAAAACCACCAAGCCCAGTTGTATGGATGATAATGGAACTACCAAGCCAAGGAGGGGAGGAAAAAAAAAAAAAAAAAAAAAAAAAAAAAAAAAGAAAAAAAAAGCGCCATTCTCATGAAACACCAAACTAACAAAAATAAACCACGTTTTTCATTGACATAAGTGGAACAAAAGCACAGACAAGAGGAAGCAGGAAGTAACAAGCAAGGAAATGCAACTAGCAGGAAATAAAAGCAAAGTGCTGATTCTGAAAGGCTTGTTGCAAAGCACCGTTAGGTCCCCAGAGGAGGAGGTCTGAAGACTGGACAGTATTGGCTTAGGTGCTACAGTGGCAAAGCTACAGGAAGACAAGTCCACAGCCAGTACCATGAAGATCCCATGATGTCTGTTTTGTAACTTTTTAGGAGTCCCGGACCATGCCATAACCTTCTTCTTGTGAAAATGGTAAGTGTATTCCCATTGAGCACATGGTCCTAGTAACTGTATAACAAAGGGAACAAAACACTTCTTAGGTTCTTAAATGTGCTTCACAGCTTTGAACAGAGCCTCAGAGCTGGTTCTCAACTCTCTTTTTGGTAAACTTTAACAAAGCTTGGTGCTACAACTGTTTCATGAGCATGTGACACAATTAAGGAAGGCATTTTGTAAACACTGGAACTTACCCTGTCTGCTCCCCACCCCCATTTAGATTCTTTGCTGTGTAGTAATATGGCTAAACTTGCACTACAATGGATAAACTGGGAATGTGAATATGCCTGCCCACCTATTTTCATGAAGCTTGTAGAAAACTAACTTTGAACTGTTCCTGCTCTGTCAGATTTAATTAAAAGCAGACAAGAAGTTCAAATGTCTTGAGTGTCAGCAGGGAGGGGCTGACAGAAAGGAATACTGTGCGGGAGAATTTAGCTGAAAAGTACATTCTCTCACCAAAAACATTCTGTCAGCTCATTGCAGAGTTATGTATCTAACAGGTCATACAATAGCACACTCAGCAGATTAAAATATATACATGGTTTGACCGGGATCTTTCTCTTCTCAACTAGTTATCCCCATACAATTACATTCTGTTAGCAGAGCCACCATGGGCAGTTTTAGGAATCAGTCTTCTTCCCATACTTGGCTTTGCTCGCAATTTCCATCTTCCTTCTTGCACCTGGCAGCTCCTACCAGCATGCTTACCAGCCAGCAGAGGCTGAGGAAACGAGAACTAGGAGAACAAGTCATTGTAACTCAAGTCTTGCACACTCCCCTCTCTCCCCCGGCTCCCATCAGCTCCTGTGGCTTGGCTGCTGCCTTCCCAGCACTGCTGCTGACAGCAGCCACATGAGCTGGACACAGACAGTAAATCAGCTGGACACAGACAAGAGGAACAGAAGCAGCTACCAGCAAGGTTCACAGCTTTCCCTCACGGCCCTCCTCACGGAAGAGTTGTGTTGCTACAAAAGCTCTTCAGACCTGCACAGCTTCAGCCTCTCTGGGGCATTAAGCAAATAAAGATACTTTGCATATCAGATCCCATACATTAGGTCGAGCTATACATTAGTTTAGCACCAATTTTGCGGCTGAATCAGTTAAGTGTAAATGGAAATAATAGTTCTCCTTCACCTAAATAGCTACAAATCACACCCTTTCTCCAGTGCCTTCGGTGCTTTCAACAGTATAAATTGTTTATACTTTAGAGGCAAGTGCATACAATAGGTATAGAGCTTGTTTTTAACACAGTAGAAAAATTATTACCCTGAACTTTCTACCTCCTACTTGCAATTCCTCCCCTAAAGAAACAATTGCAAGTCTAAACAGTGATTTAGCTGGATGGCTGAATGTTGGTACCGTGATTCAACAGCCTACAAAGTGCCCACATTAAACAGTTCTTATGCATCCTTAATGACCAAAAAAACTCACAGCAACAAACAATAAAAGGAACCTGTAATTTCCTAGTCCTGGAGCTGTTCAACCTGCTACCTCTGGAATCATTTATGCTTTGGAAACAAAAAAAAAAAAAAAGTTCTTTCCTTTCACTTTCTGCTGGAGAGATTTTATAGCAAAAATATAGTAGAGAATTTTTCATGCCTACAACACTTAGTTGAACCAAACTTCCTTATGGTAACTGATTAACAACCCTATTATTTATTACACGAACTCAGCACAAGATATGTGTTTTAGCTTCAGCTATAAGACTTCACTTCAACTTTCTACATCTTACACTGAGTCTTCCAGGAAGACTACAATTCACAGTCACAACACTGCTACTGATTTCTACCTCCAGGTCAGATATATTTCCCTGTTCTGGAAAACAATTCATCAGGTGCTATAGTCCAACAGGAGGCACAGATATTTTCAGGTACTTTCCTGAAAGACAGCCAAAAGCAAGAGAAATAGCATGATATTAGTATTAATTGGGTAGCAATTCTTTTACTCTGCTGCTCTTGTTATGAGGCAGAGATATTTGTATTAAAGTATGCTGCAGTGAAAATAGTAGAAAGTGATCCAGAAGACTTTAATTTCAGTGTAAAATTAAGCACCCACTCCAGGCTCTGAATAGTTATTCAGGAAACAATACAGTAAACTTGGATCACAGAAATAAGCTTAAAAAAAAAAAAAAAAGGCAGCAGCTCTGAGGGAGCTTTTATCCTGCAATTTTTTATGTTTTCCCCTAAAAACAGTCCTGCAAGAATACTTGTGGCTCTGTAGTGGATAATCCATGCTTGAGTTCTTATAGCTAAGTGATGACGTTCGTTAAGTTTATACATGAAAATATAGCTAAACTCTGCAGATTAATTTAGCCTACAGATAAAACTACAAAGAAAATACAGTGTACAAAATTTTCATATATGAGATCTTCAGTGTACAGAACTGTCCACACAGGTCCTGAAACAGCTTATTCTACCTCCCACTCTTGGGGACCTCACAGTTCTGCAAGACATTATTTTTGCTTACATTTTATGAACATTATCTACACAGCCCCAAAGAATTTGCTTCTCAGATCCCTCTCTACATTGGACTTCTGTTTGCTCACTTTCTTGAAAGAGTGAACCCCAAAATCCTGCGACTAAAAGGAATCAGATTAGCCAAATAAATCAACGGCAAGGTAAGAATAGTTGGCAAGTATAGAAATGCACACATATTATCTTTTTCTTCCATAAAAGCTGGTTCTTGGAAGCCTGACTTGACAAAAGGATATACAGCATTCAATTGTATCACTTGTGGTGCCCAAAATGCCTTTTCATGCAGCTGTTGGAGGGAACTCTCAGCACTATTTGGAATTGGATTATATTAGATGAAAAATAGACTGGGCCTAAATTGGCAAGATCCAAACACAGTCAAATGGCTTAAGGCCAGAGTCTTAAATTTAAGATAAAATAGCTGTTGCCATCTTTGCAGGTTTTTATGCCAAAAATACTTCACATTTCTGAATTAAGGACCTTCTCTCTCTGATAAATTGTAAGCATTTCCCACTTTCTAGTTTCTGCAGCCACTGGAGTAAGCCAATTTCTGTTTTTACTTTATTCCCAGGGAGGGGACAACCCCCTTCACAGAAAAATAAAACAAACTAAAAGAATCCTCCAACATTTCAAACTAAACAAGGCCTCATATTTCTCCCCTCACTTCAAGATGTACACTATAGAATTGAGTATAACCATTTACATCAAAACTTAGGGATTACAACTTGCTCTTTGTTAGGTGACTAAAATATTTTTAGCTCTATTTTTTTTTCTTTAAGTTAGCATTCAGAGAACCTGACGAGTTTCCTTCTATCACTAGTTCAAACAATCATACTCTCCATTCACTGCAGAAACATGCAAGTCTGTCTTAAAGTTCTCCTTCTATATTTCTTCCTTATCTATCTATTCACCAAGAGAGTCCTTGATAATTGTCAGTACTGACATGACTGGTGTTCTTTTGTAACACTACAGAAATATTAAGAATATACAAGAAAACCTTTTACTTTGTTTGCCTTAGCCTGATGATATAGAAAAAAACCACTTATTCTGAGCAAAGGAAGTAGTTTTGGAAACACCCTGGAGAGAAATAATGTACAAGATTACTAGACACTGAAAATAGACTAGCAATTTGTATTTCCATTATTGCACAAAGATCCAAACTACAGAATAACACACACACACACAAGAGTAAATAAAAGCACTTATAACAATTCTATAAAAAGAGTGTGAACAGCAAGATGTCTTGGAAAAGAACTCAGATTGTCTATGCGTACATACAGGAAAAGACCAATTTCTTAAAGGGGGTAAAAACTGCCTTCCTCCTAGATCCAAACCCACCTGCAATAAATGTCAGTAATACCAGATCATGTAGCACAATTTTGGATTTTTAAAATTCAAGCTGAATGGTCATTTATACCTCTAGAACAACTAGGGGTAGTCAATGTTTATACACTTAAATGCAAACCTTCATTAGCGCTATCCAGGGATGTTCAGAACCACAGGGCAAAGAGGGAAGGGAGGGAATTCCCATCACAGGACCTGAGCCCATGTGAGATACCACATCAAGTTAGCAGGGGGAAGAAGGATCCTACAGTCCCCTCTCCTCTCCTGTAGCAAATCTGTACTCTGATTAAAAAGACAAACAAACCAAACACAGGAGAAAACAAAACCACAACAAAACCAAAAAAAAACACCAAAAATACAAGCCTTACTAAATCGCAACCTAGACAAAGCTTTGGTCACATACAAAAAAAAAAAAAAAAAAACAAAACAAAACAACCCACAAAACAGCAACACAATTTTCAGAAAGTGACTCCAGAAATCTGGAATCAAGTTCCTAAATGTAATTCATCAAAGTCTCCTTTATGCTCACCAGCATTTTAAGCATTTCTTTGACCATATTTAATTTGAAGGGGAAGACCTATTTGCAAAATAGGCTTCTGGTCTTTCTCCCTAGTGTCCTATTAAATAGGGTTAAGATCAGCAACCAACTTTTGTGACACTTGATAAACATCTTAAACCAGCAGTCTCTTAGATATCTGTCTGGGATACAGCTGCAAAGTTTACCACAACACATCATTTAATGTTGCTTATTTTCCAAATATCAAGGCTGAAGTCCACCATAACGTGGTTTACCCAAAGCTGTAGGTTCTTGCTTTATCTCTGCTCCATGTCCTGTATCAGGCTGGCTCTCAGTACACATCAGATTTTTTTTCCCCCCTGTTTGTTCACTTAGGCCTGCCTGAATTCAAATTGACTGTTGAGACAGAAGGGAGGGAGGGATGGAAAGAAACAAGTCCCCATCCCATCCCCCAGCTCCCAGCTTTTCCTACTTCTTTTGAGTTCCAGTTACCTAGAAGTAACATCACATCTATTGTGTTTGTAACTTCTAGGGAAGTGAAAGCATCCCAAAAAATTGCTGGACTCATTTGCTTCAGACACCAGTTAAACATCAATGAGCATCACAAGTGAATTATTGACACATGTAAGTCTAAGCTCTTT